TAATCTCCTTAAATCAATTATCAAAAAATGAAACTTATATATTCCAACAGTAAATAATAGGCCTTGAGGATATCCGAAAATTCACGCATCTTTCTAACTTGACCCTCATCATTATAAATAAAGACAAAAAACTGGTTGAACTTTCGAAAAAAATATTTTTTGTTGCAGATGGATACATTTTTGAATAGATAGCAATAATAGTAATAATAAATTTTCAGCCGATAATAGATGATTTTAATAGATTCATAATTTTTTTAGAATTTTTAAATATTTTACAAGGCAGTGTCTATTTTCACGCTCCACGGTAAAATTTCCCGTGGATATAGGGGCCATTTTCCCGTGGATATAAGGTAGATGTATATGCGTATGTTGGACCCCTTCTTTACGGATACACGGGAGATTTTACCGTGGATTGTTGAATTTCTAGTTGAAATAATACGAGGCAAAAATTAATCTTATATTTTTCTCTCTATGTTTACACACGGGTATGAAGAACATTTCTATGGACGAAAATTCTGAGTAGTGCGGGCTATGATGTTTATGCTTTTGGTTTTTTGGTCTAGACAGAGTTGAATGAATAGGACCTCTTATGTCACGTCACCAGAGACCCAGAGTGTTGTATCCCTTTATCATTTTGTTCAGTTCCTCAGAGGAATTGGTAAAGAGCGGATGTGTCTTCCGAGCGTATTAAGTAAAGTCTAATTAATAAAGTTATTTTACTTATTTACCGGCTTGGTTATTTAAATTATCCCATTTCTAATATGGATCAATTGAAAGGTTCAATCAGAAGGGTCACAAAGGAGGGTCAATCGAAGTGATCACGAGGGTCACAATTCCAATTTTCGATTATAATCTGAACTTGTTGACATTTTTATACAAAAATATCCTCATTACTTCGAGTTCCTAACCTTTCACCGTCTCACAAAATTCTAATGTTCTGTAATTGAGCGCACGATGTTCCATATTTGGCAAAGGGGTCCGTAATAGGTCATTTGGACTTGAACATAATTTTCCTTTTTTCTCGATTATTTCTCATTACATACTATGTTTTTTTCTTTTTTGTTCTGAAACCAACTGAATTTGGAATCGACCAGTATTTTCTTATACTTTTTCAAACCATTGTCTGAACCTCCGAGTGTTCCATAATTAGACTGTTCACCCTATCCTCAAAGAATCATGCATTTACGGTGACCAAAAATGTACGTTATTATTCGAAGTCTTGCAAAAATATGCAATTATCCACTTGTCTTGCGATCGACGCATGCGTGAGCACACGTGTTCAGTGACATCGCATCACCCCTAACATATTCTTAAACACAACCGTCAGTTTAGTTGTGATGGCAACCATCAGCGTGACAACACGTAGTGCAATACTGTTTACCCGGTTTGCTTCAATAAAATTTCGCCAACAGATTGATTGAATATCCCCCGAAAACGTTCCTTCAGCGAACCAAATGCATGTGATAACCGAGCAGTCATTCCCCGTTCAATCAAGTGTGAACATAAGACATGCCCAACTTGTTTCAATTATTAAAAACCCGTTGTCATCGGTAATGACTATTGCAACGACCTGCAAACTCCCTCACGTCAATTTAAAATTAAAAATACTATTGCAAGGAGTGTAAAAATAAAGGAAATAGGAACGGGTAAATGCCAATAAGATCGAGACACAGTGGATCGAGAGGTGTTTCTGTGGACATTGAAACCCCGTGGGCAGCTCAAGGACTCACCTCTGCTGTTACCAATCTCGCCAATATGGTATGAGTAATAATTAAATATAACACTGTGTTGCAAATAATGACAAATCATTTAGGTGAACCCACACTTCACCAATTCAATTTCTTTTTCCAATCAATACCTCAGCGGAACCTTAAATCTAGCATCACGAGTTTTTTCGTGGGGGTCAAGAAGCAAAGGAGATGGTGTCGATCTGATATGACAAATTAATAGAATTTGAAACGGGAAAGAGTTGAATGCAGTAGTCTCTCGTTATAGTCACACTCGGGGGGAAGCGAATTCGGAGAATGCGACTGTATTTCGCTACCCCCATCACGCGCTCACGACAAGCCCGACTTCCGAGAACTGAGAACGATAAAATAAAAATACTCATTTTTTTTTAAATCGATACTTTATTTAACGACTTCAATTATTACATCAATATTTTCGTAGATTATGATAAACATTGTTTTTGTAATCAATAGGTTTTTTCATGATATCACTTTTTTCGAGGTAATCACGGTTTAATTATGAACGGAATGCGCATTTGTCCCGCCATCGGCTGTAAAATGTTGAATATCTCGAAAACTACTGGAAATAATTGAAAAAGTCAATTAACTGATCTGGTGTATCTTTTTAGAACGAATATTTTTTATTTTGACCATTTTTTTCTGCATCCAACCAATTTTCTGAAAATTGCTCCCGAACGCATTGCCGGCACGTGACAGTGCCAGCGCGCCACCCGTTGGAATTGCATCCGCGATATCTACACAACTATGATAGCTATGAGAAAAAGTTATAAAACAAAATATGCCCATTTTTCGATAAGAAACATTTTTTGTTTGAAATTTTTTCCCCTATCGTCAATCGTTTCGGCGACTTCACGATTTAAACAATTGAATTGTTATAAAAAAATAGATAGCGCACGATTCGCGAAAACGGTTAGTACATTTGTAATCAGCGGCCACAAAAATACAATGTCCAATAGTTAAATCTTCTGGACATCTTAAAGTAGCTCTACCCTTACGGTAAATTCAAAGATTATTGAAAACTGCAAAAAAATTGCAGAAAACTCGATTAGATTCGGAATTCTAATTTGTTTCTCAATTTAATTATCGCTTTGGTTTTTCAAAGAAGAAATGTTTAAAAATCAGGATCCCAGTGTCTTATGTGAAAATCAACATTTCCATTGTAATCAAAGATTAAAATCTCAATTTTTTTTTAGATGTGAAAAAATCAAGAATTTTTTTGACACCTCATAAAAAATAATCCACAGTTTTGCTAACAAGTTTGATTATTTATTTATAAGAGGGAAATGTTTGAAAAAATATCAATATTTTGCGAAATTTAATTTAGATAATATTGACTGGGTATAAATTTTTTCAAATTTTGTCCATGCAATTTAGCTGAAAAATTTTAAAAATGAAAATAGCTACTTTAATGTATACAGCAGTGCTCCTGGCGTATGAACTAAAAGGAAAATTAGTCCAGGAGAATGAATTTCGCGATAATTGTTATCGCAATTTATAGTTTTGCTCAAACAAGTGTCCAGCTATATATAACCTTCCATTTGACATGTTTTGATTTATAATACAATGTACTCCAATGCCAGTAACATTGGAAGAATAAAGAAGCCCCTGATGATTTCCCTGGAAGACGAAATGTTGAGTTCATCAAACAAAATTCTTCAATTTTCTTTCAACGTCGTCATCTCCATTGAAATTGCTGAAGATCGCCTAGGGCAATTCATTATCATCTAATTATTTGAATTAAAACGGTCAAAAACTTCATTGGGGAAGGATGTGTTGATTTCACTGAAAAGGTCCTCAGAAATTCCGCAATTTTCCTTAGACTCACATATATCTATCTAAAACTGAAACACTCATAAAGTACTAAGGGGCTACGCCCCCTGCTCGCTCCACTCGCCAATCCCCATATGACCCCATGATCCTTATTCTGACCCTTGTGATCCTTAATCTAACCTTCATGGCCCTCATTATTCTCCTCGTGGCCTTTATTTTGACCATTAATTTTGGAGTCTCAATTTCGAGTACCAAATTTCCATCACCAGAAGTCGATTTAGACTTTTATAATATAGATTCTAATAGAATCTAAAGGTGGCCTTTAAATTCTAACCCCCATGACCCTTATTTGGATCCTTAATCTGATCGTTGTGACCCTTAATCTGCCCCTTCTGACTGTTATTTGAACCATTATTCTTACCCTTGTGACCCTTAACCTGACCTGTGTTCAGACTCAGGCCCCTTAATCTGTCCCTTATTCTGACTCACGGGACCCTTAGTTTGACCCTCGTGACCCTTATTCTGACTCTTATGACCATTATTATGACCCATGTGACCCTTATTCTGACCCTTATAAGCCTTATTCTGGCTCTTATGACCGTTATTTTGACCCACGTGACCCTTACACGTATGAAAAAATCGTATAGAAATTTTCTATATGGATTGCGTATAGAAATTCTATAGGATTTTCGTATATGATATTCGGATATTTCTATTCGAATATTTTTTATACAAATTATTTCTATACAATATCTATAGGTTTGATCCTATACGACCCACTGCCACATGTGGAGTTTCGACATTTCTGTACTTTTTTCTTTGGGAGCCTATTCTCGAGCCAGGATTGCACGGTCGTATGAAAGCCCGTCGTGAACGGAGGCGCTCCGTGTGCAGTGGGGTCCGTACGGTTTGAGATCATCGTATGCGACTTTGGCTCCGTACGCTCCCATGCGATTTTCACTCGGCGTTCGGTTTCGTATGACGGTTTGAACGCGACTTAACCTCACACTTTGACATTCCCCTGGGACTGTGATTATTTACGTAAAAATTACTGTAATTATTCACATAACAGTACGAACATTTATCAACTGAAGATGTTTCTTCACATATTCCAACATCACCTTTCGCTGGGGCACTGCGATATTTCTCGGATTTTTTTACTGCATTTTGTTTGTTTTTTGTTGTCTTCTTCACAATTTTTCCATTTGCTGACTTACGCCTCATTATTGAATGAATTAATGAGTAGATTTTAGGATAAAGATGTAAGAATAATGTATAAATAATCACAGTCCCAAGGGAATGTCAAAGTGTGAGGTTAAGTCGCATCAAACCGTCATACGAAACCAAACGCCAAGTGAAAATCGCATGGGAGCGTACGGAGCCAAAGTCGCATACGACGGTCTCAAACCGTACGGACCCCACCGCACACGGAGCGCCTCCGTTCACGACGGGCTTTTATACGACCGTGCAATCCTGGGTCGAGAATAGGCTCCCTGCTGGAGTGTTGAGACATCTTTCGTATGCAAACAAAAATTTATGTAAAAATTTAGGTATAGAAAATATTCGTATAGAAATGTCCGAATATCATATACGAAAATCCTACAGAATTTCTATACGCAATCTGTATAGAAAATTTCTATACGATTTTTTCATATGTGATATTCCCCTTATTTTCACCCGTCTGACCCTTATTTTGGAATCTTAATTTCGAGTACCGAATTTTTCTCACCAGAAGCCGATTTGGATTTCCATAATATATATATTTCATTGATTTAACTAATTTTCTTTGTTACTAAAATTGAAGGTAACTTCAAATAACTTCATTCTTTCCTTGACTGTAAAAACCTACAACACTACCTATTATCTGCCGTATTTCGTCCCAATCCTTCCATTATTAACTTGGATTCACCCAGTTACCTAATTTCCAAGCCATATGCAATAACTCATGTCTCTATGATAACCGAATGCAGCCATGATCCAACGTAAGTTGTGAGGGTCGTGGGTATACATTGCCTATGGTGCAGGTGAGAATCGATCGCTTCGACTGTCCCTTGCTCAGCGAATTTCGTTCCGTGATTCGTCAACTCTGTCTCAATTTACTTTCTACCTAAAACATTTAAATTGTAGTTATTTTGATGTCTGCTGTGATTGACTCGAAGATTGACTTTAAGAGATGAACCTTTCAGCAACCCTTGACCTTTACTGTTTTCCAGTTCGTGAATATTGGAATTTTTTTATCAAAGAATTGTAACAAAATGTGAAACAATTATTGAAACTTTGAAATCGTAGAAAATAAACAGTGAACTTTTTACATTTTGCAAATAATGTCAGTAAAGAATTCTTTCAAAAAAAGTTTCTTTTCATAAACTGAATGTTATGTATGCTTTTTATCAATTGAACGAAATTATTATTCAAAAAAATTAGAGAATATATGGGAGAACAATTGTGAAGGTATACTCGAAAACGATAAGTTTGATAACCTCCTGCCACGTGGGATGGGATTAAAATCAATAGGATAGCGCACAATGCAGGACGCTTCTGTGCATATACCGTGCTTAACCGAAAATTCTACTCCGCACTGAGAAGAAGAAAGTTTTTTGAGAAGTAGGGTGAACAGGCCAATTACCGGACGGTTAAGGGAAATTCAAGTTTCGTGGTAGAATCTAAAATAAAAGAATCACTTAAATGGGGATATGATGGCTTGCATACCTTAAAGAATGTTTTAATCAGCAGAAAAAAATGATTTGAAGTGAAAATAACAAAACCAAGAATAATTAAATTAAGAAATAGTTGAATGGAGTCGAAATCCCTAATTTCTAGACGACTGGGCCTTTTTTTAAAATTACTAAATGTCGATCAATGGAAAAATAATTGATCACATGATTATACACAAGTAATATTATTGAAAGGTGAAATAATCAGTACAATTTTCTTATTGTTTATGGAATATTCAATACACGTCTTTAATTGTGCAGTCTAATCCTCGTATAAGACACCACAGGGACTATAGAGGAATAAAATTCCGTGAATTACGTATCCCCCACTTTTCTTGCACTTAGAGGGGAAAATATTTTGATTTGATATTCTTCGTATAAGATATTAGACAATTTCAATTTTTTATGATCATTACGATTCCTGATGAAGGTATTGTTCCTGTTCAAAATAACAATTTAAAAATTCGGAATGAGATAGTTTGTTAATGGGGGGCTGCGAGGCAAAATTGAGACTGGCATTCGAATTTTGGTTTTCATAAAAATTGGGTGGAATTTTCTTTTGTTTTGTCTACCTGTACACATGGTGCAATACGTGTAAAAAATAGATATTTCACCAAGTTTTATACGTTTAATTTTGTTATTAACCCTAGTCTGGTCGCGGGGATTTGCCGCCGTGTTATTTAAACTTTAGCGTTGCTGAATTTACTCTACACTGCCCGGGTGCGTTTAGCAAGTTTCTGGCAACGTCGCGTCATGGGCAATTTCATTTAACATGGGTAAAAATAATTCATCTGTCCGAAATAATTTTTTTTCTTTAGGAATTTTGGGAAATGCTTTGTTCTAAAAATTACTATAATTTTTTAGTCACTTCAATTGACAAAGTCCAAGTTTTTTTAATTTTTCCGGTTAGCCCGTCAATTGTAATTAAAGAAAAACGACGCACGGTGAAGTTTCCCTTATAGAAAAACTATGAGGTGACCAATCTAAGGTTAACTGTAATGAGTGCCTATTCGTTTTGAAATGGAATTGCTGTGCAATTAACTTCTAGATCATAGATGCATGTATTTCCATTAATTTTTGCAATATCTCAACTCTATTTCCACTCAATTCTAGCCCCTTCGTAGAGTATCTTGTAACGGAGAATTGCGAAACAAAACACATTCAAGCCAGAACGTGGGGGATTCCGGCTTAGTATCTTGTATGAAAGTATCTTGTACGGAGACTAGATTGTATCAAGAAATTCATGGATCGGGAATTGACAGGAAAAAAAATCTCACACTGAGAAAAAAAAACGTTTCGTCAAGATGTGAAAGATGAGGGACAATTTGTTCACAATAAGAAAGCGACTTTTTGAACCAAGTCGAGCGTTTTTTGCATTAAAATATTGTGGATTTTGAGCTTAAAAACTATTGAATAAATTGGTTCAACTAGACTTGGTTCGGAAATCACTTTCTTCTTGTACACAAATTATCCTCGTCTTTGGGACAAAAACGAAATCTCCTGATGTAAGTTTTTCCTCTCTCAGTGTCTGCCCTTCAGACTCAAACGAGACTTCACTTTGAAGAGATCGTCTCGATCTTGGTGAATACGGAAACTTTTGGTCTCGTCACAGTCTCAAAAGAGCCAGTATCGGCTCTTCCCGTGATGACTCACCGTCAATTTATCTCATCTCGGTCTCAAGTTTCTTGTGCATTTTCAATGTAAAGTCTTGGTTTCAATCTCGGTCGTCTCGTCTCAGTCTTTTACAGATAAAAAAAGCGAAAAACTTGAAACCGAGATGAGATAAATTAACTGTGAGTCATCACGAGAAGAGCCGATTCTGCCTCTTTTGAGACTCTTATGATACTGAAAGTTTCTCTGATCACCAAGACCAAGACGCTCCCTCTAAAGTGAAGTCTCGTTTGAGTCTCTTGGGCAGCCCTAAGTGTAAGATATATTTCTTGCTTATCAATTTTCCAGCGATGAGTTTCTTCATACAAGTGAAGACGTACTTATCAAAAAACTTTTTCTCAGTGCAATGTTATTCCACGACCATTCTCGACTATATTCTTCTTTAGATAAATATACCAACAAAATGGATCATTTTCAGGCAAGGTTTCAACAACGTCAATTGATGGAGAAGGAGCAGAAATTACTTCAACTTTATGATCAGCAACAGCAGAGAGCTCATCAGGTCGCTCAACGTGGTAGTGCTGGATCGAATACCTCCAAGGGATCGGGTTCCGGCACTACTACTCAATCTGTAACCAGAACCACAACCACAAGTCATTCTACGTCTAATTCGCAAGGTGGAAAGGTATTGAATAGCTGTTTTATGAAGCAATTCAATTAATCAAGGAGCTTCCAGTGGTGGTGATTGGGTTTTATTGAAAGTGTTATGATTGATTGCTTTGTTCGAGTAATTGGAGACTGGAAGCATATTATACGTCTATAACTGATATATTGCATAGAATTTCATGAGGCATAAAGATATGAAGTTTTTAGGAACCGTTTATGAACGCCGTCTACACGCATGAAAAAATTTAATAGAAAACCTAGCGAATTCGCTAAAAAAGTCTCCTTGGAATTCTATAAGCATTCTTTGGGATTTCTATAGGATTTCTATTGGAATTCTATTGACAAATTGTATTTGTTTTTTGCGCTGATTCTATTGGATATTCAATAAGAAAAAGTCAATTAATTTCAAATTTCTGTTTGAATTTTTCTCTTAGATTTTTTCCATTCCAATTATTGGTCACAAATTTTTCAAGTTTTTTCCGCTGTATTTTGTTTTGCATTGCAGAATCCGAGTGGAAAAAACATAGAAAATTGATGCCCAAGTATTCTTATAGAAAAAATCTCAAGAGAAAAATTCACACAGAAATTCGAAACCTATTGACTTTTTCTTATTGAATATCCAATAGAATCAGCGCAAAAACCAAATAAAATTTTTCAATAGAATTCCAATAGAAATCCTATAGAAAACCCATAGAGTTCCTATAGAATTCCAGTAGAATTTTCTACCCAATTCGCTAGGTTTTCTATTGAATTTTGTCATACGTGAATAACTTTGATTTTTGAGTAAACCAACGAATTTCTGGAGTTGGCACACTTTTGGCGAGAAAGAAATTAAATACTCTCATTATTACGACCAATAAAAGGAACTCTAGTTCTAGAGGCGTTCGATTTCTCCCAATCAAATATATCTCAAGAAGAAATAACTGGTCTTCACCATGAAATCATGTTTATTTGAAAATTGACAACCAAATGATCGTTGGTTCCACTAAAATTTTCTTAATAAAATTCTTTTTTTCTGTCAGTGTATCATTCATCCTCATCTTTGATTACATTGTTTCCTCGATGTATCATCCATTTTTATAATACATTCATGGGTATATGAAATTTAATGCTTTTGCAATATGAATGAGGAAAAGAAAGCTTCTCACAAGTAAATAACGTCATATACCGCCCGGTCAAGTAGTTATTGAATTGATAACCACCGCATATCAAAACAGGAATAGCTTCCCCAACACAGTTTGAAAGATATTCGAATTTTTAATTTCCATTTCCAAAACCTCAAATTTTGCCTCATTTATCTTCTGAAGTTCTCAATCATTTTCCTACTTTGTAATTTATTTTTCAATTTTCCTAAAGGTAAGACAAATGTTCGACGAGAGACGACAGACAACAGTGAAGGGGATCGATAGAAGTTATCCCCTCGAGCCCCTGGAAAATAAACCACGAAAAACCACTGGTCCAGCAACCCAGAAAAACGGCAATACAGTATCCAGTAGACACTCGGTCACTGTTAAACGTACGATACGTGCCGATGCCAATGGCAATGTCAATAATGGAAAGCCTGTGATCAATTATCATGAGGAAGTGACGCGGGAGACATTCGGCCCAAAACTCGTGCATCAACAGGACGATCTCGACGAGTTTTACAACGAAAATGACTTGGCCGAATGGAATGGCAGCAATCAAGAGGTACATTACCAATTCCCGTTCTATATCCGTTGTATGATTCCATATTTTTCAAGTGCAATGATGTTTGCTTCCGAATGGAAGTCATGTAATTGGAATTTTTTTCGATTTCCGAATTTGAGGTCGATATATTTAATAGTTCCTGAGATGGAAGAATTCACCGAAAATTCTTTAGAAAAAAAATTACGCATCCATATTTCACCGCTCATTTTTACATAGGGATATCTTGAAAGGCCGTATTCCAAATGAGATTCGTTAATATTTAACGAATAGTTCGACAGGTGAAAATCAAACAAGCCTTCTGAAATGTGCATTTGTTAACTATTAACGAATGAACATTTGGTGCGACCGAATAGGCCCTTGTCTCCAACCAAATCCATTTGTTAACAATAACTAATCCTTTCTATCAGTGTATAACATGAATAAATAAAATTTTTCAATAAATAGATAATAATAGATAACGACATTGGTCATGAAATATGAGTGAGATTGGCTTTAACATTTTCAAAAAATGGTAATCTATATGCGTTCAGTTTTTGGAAACATGAATTGGGATCCATTCGAAAGTCTACTACACTGAGAGAAATATCATCATAATATCACAAAACTAATTTCTTGCGCCAAATATCTCATCTCTTGAGGACAAATTTCTTGGGATAAGAATTCCGGATAATGCGTCAGGCAATGTCAGATTTCCGTGAAGTGTTCATGACTTGCACATGAACATTTCATGATAAAGTGAGCATTTCTTGCCACAAGAAATCGGTTTTTTCGTGTCCGACGATTCACTGAAGCTTCGATTCAGTGAATCATGAATCAGAGACTTTCATATTTGTAGGGTCATAATCATGAGGACACGGATATCTATTTTAACGGAATAAATGAACGTATATTTGAGTTCAAATCGAATTAATAAAGATATACCGTCAAATGAGCTAAGTTGCTCTACATCTTCACGCGACATTCATCCGATTACAACTGACTCTCACGTCATTCCCTCATTCGACTTCTTTTCCTTTTCTATTTCAAAAATATCCTCTCATTCGCACTCATTCCTATCCAATACATCATTTGTCCCAAAAAATGACCTCATTGTTCGTTACACAGACATCCCTCAGTCACCCAAGAAACTCTCTCAAACCAAACACGAACGTAATAAAACTGTCACACAGCATAAATACATTTCATTTCACACTTCACTCGAGCATACCCTAAAAACAACTTTTCTTTTCAACGTAGTATTTTCCAACGGACTTGTTGTCTCTAATATTTAGGCCATAATGAATTCTTATTCTAAATATCTGGCCCCACAGCGCCTTCTCATTCCTCCATATTATTTTAATGGATTCTTTATTCAAACTATAATACACACACATATTTACTGATTCCACATATGGTATGAATAGAGAGTTTATGCAGAGGAAAACCTCCAGATATTAAAAATTTCTAACCGTCGCTTACGCCGCTCAATCGCTTTGAGTTTTAACGGAAGCAATATCTTCTTTTCCTTCTGTCAAACTATTCTTGTCTTTTAAGAAACATTATCTCATTTCGAAAAAAGACATCACCTTTTCATTCAGTAACTTCCTCCTTAGCCCAAAGAACACCGATTTCTTGTCTGAAGCCTACCATGAATTGATCAAATATGTATGCGATGTTTTTCACTCAGGAAATGATTTTTCTGATATTATGTCGACTTTTCTCTTAGTGTACCAATGAAATTGGTAGAAATGAAAATAGAAAACAGAAAAATACGTGGAGAGTAACAGTCATATGTAATTTGTCAAACGGCTTCTCTCACACTGCTTGTTTTCTAGCCGAATATCTACGGAATCAGTGGAAACGATCGAGGAAGAGCAGTTGAACGGACCAAATATGGAAGCACAAAGAAGGAAACGTCACTCAAACAGAAAAGTGAAACGATATCTCCTGGTGCAGCTCCAAGGTATCTATTCAACAATCTCTCCTCATTAAAATGTACCTAATCTAATATTAAAACCGATAAGATTAACTTAACTGGCTTAAGCGGCAAAAAAACGAACTGCAAAAATCAAAATCATTTCTAACTTTCGGGGGTACTGCTGTTGGTTCATTAAGTGTTCTGTACTGTACATAAATTAAGTCCATGAACGAATCCCTGAGTCATCAATTACAAATATCCATAGTAATGCTGCGAGATGTAATAAGTAAATACTAAGCTGAAGTCGTTGGAATTTTCCGTATCACCTGCTAACTCAGCTTGAATGACTTTAACATCCTAAGGGTTGACCGTAGTCATCTCATGTGGTAATTCATCATGGTTCATTTAAATTGCTGAGGGGTCGGATTAAAATTTCACTCACTGGAGAATTTCCATGAAAAATAAATAACATTGCCGTCGAAGGAAGCAGGAATCGAGGACCTACCGAAATATGATAAAAATTGAACTTGGGAGGACGTCGCCGGAATGGACGAGAACATCTCGAGAGTCTCTCCGGGGAATGAGTAAAAGTCCAGAACGAAATGTTGAATCGGGCACCAGAAGCCCCGTGCAAATGCAAAAACCCATTTCCAATGGAAACTATAAAATCGATGAGAATAAAAGAAATATATCCGGTTCTTCTGTGCGGAGGAGCAGAAACCGTAGTGCGGAAGGAATTTTTAACAAATCACGAAGTGGGAGAGGCTCGAAAACTTCCCCTCGAGAGGACACTCCTAGTCCTCGGGAGAAATCTAAAATTACTGAGGTCAAAGGGGATAGTGTACCACGAAAAGCGAGTTCACTGGCTTTCGAGTCGTCGGAGAATGTTAAAGAGGCTGGGGGCTCCCCTCGAGTGCAAAGTCCGATTTTTCGGGAGAGGGTTAAAGTTGATGAGGTTAGATGTGAGAAAACGGAGAGAAGCAGAAGCCCGCAGTCCTTTCTTGAGAAATTAGACATCAGGAGAAGCAGAAGTCCCTCATCTGAGCTGAACGAATCCAGAAGTTTCATCTCGTTAAAGCGATTGGATAAGCCTGCATCGTCAAGTCCTGATTTGGAAGATGATGTTCGTTATTATCCTAGACGAAAATCTGAATTTGAAAAATCGAGGATCTTCCGGAAGCTGCAGGAGGAGCTAGATCGAGACTCTCCGGAAGATTACGAAAAATCTCCAAACGATGATAACACGAGCTACAGAAAAGATAAAAGTCCAAGCCCCCCAAAATACAACGCATCATTCTTCAGGATCAAAGAGTATCCTCGAAGAACTTCTGAATTCGAGAAGTCAGATACGTTCATCAAACTGCGAAGTACTTTGAATGAGGATGAAAAGAGAGCGCGGAGAAGTAGTCGCGGAAGAAGTGCAACTCCTCCGGTGATCGTTAAATCTTCCTACGAGAAAATTAAAGAGTACCCGTCAAAACGGAGAAACTCTAAAACAACTTTCCATAAACTGCAGGAGGATCTTGACAGGAGCTCACCGGAATGCAAACCACCAACTTCGTCCAACATTTACGATGACTTCCCAAAGAAATCAGAATTGGAAAAATCGAGAATTTTCAAGAAACTGCAGATGGAACTATCGAGCTCACCCGAACCCATCATCGAAACGCATAAACATCATTCTCCCACGAGAATTTCTCTGAAGAATAACGAAGTCCAGATATCAAGCAATTTGACAAAGCCTCGACCAGTCTTCGAGAAGTTGAAATCAGTGGAACTTCTGAAAGATCATTTACTTCTTAATGAGAAGAAAAATGAGTCAAATCTCAAGTTCACCCTGGAAGATATCGATAAAGAAGTATCTCCAAAAAAATCCCGAGGAGAGACTCCTCATAAAGTCATCAAGAAAGACAAGCCTCGCGCCCCCTCTCCCAAGACCGAAAGAGTGGAACATATTCAGATCTCTAAAAAGTCAAAGAACGCTCGTTCACTGTCTCCCGAGGACGACTCAAAAGTTTCCAAGAAAAAATCATTTTCTGCTGCCTTAATCCACGAATGCTCGCCAATAACATCTCAGACTTCGAATGAGATGGAGAAACACGAGAATACGTACGAACGCACGGACTCTGTGGAATCCGCCCTCCGCACCTTCAACTCGATCGATAACGTGACAGCCGACGAAATTGCAACAGGACCAAGAAAAGCAAGTTCAGATTCGAGGAGATCAAGCCTTCACGCCGCGACGGCCTCTTGGACGATGAAAACGAGATCAGCTAATCAGCATATTCATGAGAATGTCTCGACCCCTTCCAAAACTGCAAAACTCCAAGGGAAAACGAAATCAAAAAGTTTGAAGGCGTCTAAAGCATCGAAAGTTGTTAAAGAACTTCGACGATCTTCATCTCCATCTTCATCATGTAGAAAACGACTTTTCACCGATTCTGAATCAGATGTGGCATCAGAGGGTACCAAGAGCAGCGGAAAGACCATTACAATTGAAACTTTTGAAAAAACCACGAGGATGTCTTCACCACCGACAGCTGCTGTCCAACCGCTCAAGATTTTGAGATCCATCGAGGACATTCGTAATTCGATGACTCGGGACAATGTCAGGGGAACTACAGCCAATGAATCAACTAGTTCAATAACTCCGAAAGTTACGATTAGAATTATTTCTCCGACCACAGCTCGACGTACTGGGTATATTAATCAGTTCGTTGAGTTCGGAGTCTCTAAATCCAGGGTTTCCTCAGAGATAAACGTCAAACCTGCTCGTAGGATTGAGAAGACTCAGAGTCCAGATGATCCGAGGAGGATTACCTCTAATGAGACGAAAAGTGTCAGTCGAAACAATTCGGACATTACTTTAAGGGTAAGACTATTTTTTGTCCAATCCTCTTAAGGTGTTTCGTGTGTTGATCGCCGGCGGGGGGGGGGGGTGAAACGGAAGGAGTCTTATTGCTCTCAAGCCCTGAGTCAATCGCTGAGCACGAAATTTTCCAGTTTTCAAGTAACTATTCAAGTGTGCAATTGAACATGTTTTGAATATTGATTTTATTCATCTGATTGATTGCTTTTTTTCTCGTCACCTACAGATGTCAAATAATTTCTATTGGATGTTCTTCGCAATATTGAAATAATATTAAAATGCGTCTCGAGTTGGTAAACCTGTCGAGTGTTTTCTCTTTCCCAGTTTCATGGTCCAACCCATACCTTTTCCATGATGCTCCATGACATTCGAATCACGCGCCTGCGCGTGAAGATGTAATTGCCCCGAAACTCATAATTTTCCGAATCATTTGGTTAAATAACTTTCTTATGAAATTTGAGAAAAATCTGAAACTTATACGTGTTCTCAGGAAAGATTTGATTCATCACCCACTAATTTTTCCTCAATAGTTCATTATTTTTTTGGATGCCATGAAAATTTCCCTAATTGAGAGTGGAGTAACCTCGGAGATTATAGCTGGCGGGATTACAAAAACATCCAAATTTCATTATTTTAATGTGGATACGTCTATGGTTTCAATATGGGGATTTTGAGAAACGGTCCTTATATGCAGCCCCATCTATCGGAATTCTAGAAAATTGTAGACATTTCGAGGTAATTTGAGAAGTTTCTTGAAATTTCGAAAAAATTCAAGGAGTTTCTAGAAATTTCGAGGAAATTCAGGGAGCTTCTAGAAAATTCGAGAGAATTCAAAGAGTTTACAGAAAATTCGATGGAATGCAAGGAGTTTCTAGGAAATTCGAGAAAGAAGGAAAGCCCGTGGACGTATCCACGTACAATTAGAGCTGTATTGAAGAAACAGCCGCCTGCAATTTTTTTCTTGACACTGAGATCTGAAAAAAATGTCCAAGAATTCTCAATGATGCAGCATACTCAGACATTTCTCTCATGAATTTTCCAATTTTTTTCCATCATTTTTACTTTTTACACGAAACACCTTAAGGGGAAGTCATTTCACGCCCGAAAAAATTTAATAGAAAAACCTAGCGAATTCAATAGAAAATCCTATTGGATTTTCGTTGACCTTTCTATTATTTTTTGGCCGATTCTACTGGAATATTCAATATAAAATATTCAATAGAAAAAGTCAATAGAATTCGATTTTTCTATACAACTGATTCTTTTCAGATATTTTCTATAGAATTTCCTTAGCTCAAAATTTCCAAGTTTTTTTCATTCTTTTTTTCTCTTCTTCTCAGCAAGAAAATCAAACAAAAAAACTTGGAAAATTTGAGCCGAGGAAATTCTATAGAAAATATCTCAACAGAATACGTTATATACACGGAGAGAAAAGTTCAGTAAAAATTATGGAACTCACAATTCACTCACCGATTACGGAATCAACTCAGAAAATTTAAGTGACGGTATCGTAATTTTTCACAGGAGATTCAGATAAAAATTACAGAACGCTCCGGAAAAATTTCGTGACAGTTCCGTAAAATTTCTTACAACCACATTTCGCTCCGGAATTACGGAAAAGATACGTAATTTTTATTGAATATTTCTCTCCGTGTAGAAAAATCGATTTCTATTGACTTTTTCTATTAAACATTTTCTGTTGAATATTTTAAGAGAATCGGCCAAAAACTAATAGAAATCCAATAGAATTTTCTAACGAAATCGCTAGATTTTTCTATCGAATTTTTTCATCCATGTTAAGATTGGAATGGTTGGGAAATTTTTTTTTTTCAATTATAGCCGACGTCTAGAGACTCCAATCGAGGCAAGCAATACGAAAATACCCAGTCTGTTGACGTTGTTGACTACTACGATGATCAGACGAGACAAAGTCCTAGTGAGAATACAACTGTTAGAAAAAGTTCTGCATTTGTGGTGGAATTGGAAGGGGAGCCGCGTTCCAAACCGATTTTTGGTGGGAAGAAGTCACCGAATGATCGACAATCACCTGAAGTGAGTTGCAGTTTTAATCACAATGACATTTTGATAAATTTTTGTGGAAAATTTTCATCCACTTTTTTTTATAACAATATTGAAACAGAAAGTAACATCTCAGTCGAGGCAAAAAGTATCGAGTGCTCGGCCAGCTTCAGCAGTATCGACGAACTCGAGTTCCAGTTCGACTCAAGGGGCTAATTCTCCTGCCTCTAAAAGCAGAATGGCTACGAAAACACGAGGAGCAGCTTCCGGTAACCGTACACCGAGTGCTAAATCCAACATCCCAGCTTCCAATACGTAAGTTTATCAATGCAAACAAACAAATTTCATCGAATTCATTCGCGTTCTCCTTTTTACTATCAAAAGACATGAGTTGATAGATTTTTTTAATTTCATTGATAATTTTCAGTGATTCTGGATTGCCCGGATGCAAAATTTGTGGGAGGAAATTTGCGCCAGACCGTCTGTCTCTTCATGAACAAATCTGCGCGAAGACGACGCAAAAGAAGAGGAAAACGTTTGATCCGGTTGTGCAGAGGGTCAAGGGGACTGAGTTGGAACCTTTCGTTAAAAAATTGGGGAAGAAGGGGAGTGATGTATGTATTTCAAGTCTTTATCGGATTTTTACTTGAGCGAAGAAATAGTTAATATTCGTTTTGGTAGTGACATTAATTGGGATTATCTAAAAAATATGAAAAGATGATCTTTGTCGAAACATGTCTTTGTTTCGTAATTTGATCGGCTATTTAATTTTGATACCGCTATCGTACTTTATTAGATTTTGAGATGTCCAAAAGAATTCGTTATTTTTTCTAAAAATTATGGGAAGTTTTGAAAAATGTGGAAAGATTCGAACGTGTACGACGATTGGAAATCGTCTGAAAAGCTTTCCAATTTTCCAAGCTTTCATAATTCTTTCTCCACTAACAAAAAAAAGTTTTTTGTCACTGTGGAGGCTACGGCCCCTGCTCGCTCCGCTCGCCAACCCCCATATAACTCTCAAATGACCCCCATATAGCTCCATATGACTCCTATGACCCTTATTTGGACCCTTATTCTGACCCTTATTTCGACCCTTAATTTTCGAGTCTTAATTTCCAGTACCAAATTTTCATCACCCGTAGTCGATTGGGATTTTTATACTACAGAGAGATATTCTAAGCCTTGTGACCCTTCATCTGACCATTGTGACCCTTAATCTCACCCTCGTGATCCTTATTTTCATCCTTGTGTTCCTTATTTGGATTCTTCATCTGACCCTCATAACCCTCGTGACCTTTATTTTGACCTTGGTGACCTATACTTTCGGACCCGTGGTTTTTTACCCCCATGATCCTTAATTCGACCCTTACCCTCACCCTTAATCTGATCCGTGTAACCCTTATGACCCTTGTAACCCTTAATGTCCTCATCGTGATCCTCGTGGCTTTTATTTTGCCCCTTGTGAAACTTAATCTCTTGACCCTTATTCTGACCCTCATGACCCTTATTTAGACCTTTGTTACCCTTATATTGACCTGAATGGCCCTTATTTTGACTTGTGACCTTTATATTAACCCACATGACCCACACATATTTTGACGCTTGTGAGCCTTAATCTCTCGACCCTTATTCTGACCTTGTGGCCCTTATTTAAACCTTTGTGTCCCTTATATTGACCATCATGGCCCTTATTTTGACCCTTATGAAATTTATTTTGACGCTTATGAGCCTTAATCTGGTTTTCGTGATCCTGATTTTTACCCTTTTGAACCGTATTTTGACCCTTGTGACCCTAAATTTTGGAGTCTTAATTTCGAGTACCGAATTTTTATCACCAGAAGAGGATTTAGATTTTTATAACATAGAGTGATGAAGCATCTCGTAGGTCCTTCAACAATAATTTCGAACATCCTAGAATAACTTTGTCTTTATTATTGAAAAATCGATTTCTAAATAGGAAAAAATTGAATCGCCGAAGGGCGGGCCACAAGACATCAGTATTTTTCAAAATTATATAAATGTATTGAACAATCATTTGTTTTGAACTCATTTTTTTAATCAAATAAAATCGATTTTGTTTCTAGAAAAAGGCCAAAAAACCTGAAGTCAAATCGAATTGGCGTCGTAAACACGAGGACTTCATAAATGCAATAAGATCCGCGAAGCAGATGCAAGCGCACTTGGCAGCAGGTGGTAAACTAAGTGACTTGCCACCCCCACCTGCAAGTGATACCAGCGATTACATCCAGTGTCCATACTGCGGTAGAAAATTTAATCAAGGTGCTGCTGAACGTCACATACCGAAGTGTGAACACATGCTGCACAATAAACCGAACCCACGTGCCCCACCCAAACCCAGGCGTTAACAGTTTCACAGGAAACAAAAGTAATGAAAAATGTTTCCGATGAAGAGACAAATTAATGAGCACTAATAGATTCTCCTCATAATTTTCGCTGATTTTTGTTATAACCCTTGCCGAATAACTTGATAAAGATATGCTGATGTCGAGAGAAATTTTTTTGCTGATGATGAGAGAAATTTCAATGGATATTCCAGGGCGCTGATGTACTAATGTAAATAAAAATGGGAACAATAAAATTAATATCGAAAATTCTACAGAATAGGACGAAAGATGAACCTAAAAATAGCGAAAGATTCGCCAGCAAATGATTCGATTCGAGTGAATCGAGAGGTATTCCAATATGTTTAAGTCATGTACAAATTTGTTCGCAGTTCAAAACCATTTATACATACGATTGATTGACCTAAACACTTAAACGCTTGAAAATGCCCTGAATTTAATATTTCGCTGACGTATATTCCGCTAGTTTCAGATTCGTGGACGAAGGTGATTCATTTCCAATAATGTTGAAAGTTAATAATGAAGGATGAATGGAATACATCGGGGAAATTTAAATCTTCACTGGGTCTTAGGACTAGGGATGTGAAATGACGGTCATTTTTCAATTCGGTCAGGTCAGGCAAAATTGACCGTTTTCTGACCATTTTCTGACACCGAGATAATTCCTCATGCAAAATGACCGTCATGAACAACCAGCGTCAAAAATTTAAGAAAATGACCAAAACTCCTCTATATAGATGCAAATTGACGGTCATTTTCTTTTTGGTAATTTTTTCGGTCAGATTTTTGGTTACTTTATTTCATTAGTTAGGAATTGAATCGCATTTCATAATTTAAAGTTAATGTTTATTGGAACGAATTACAAAATAATCATAAATTCGATACTCGAAATCACTCATGATAGACTCATGAACTTAATAAACGTCAACAAAATTAATCAAATATATATCTCTGTATATAATACGTTTTTGGTCGAAAAGTTCATATTAAATTAGGAGGATGCTGGATGAGGCTCGTCTTCAGTCCTTCTCTCCTTAATTCTCATAATTGCCACCGGCTCCCTCATCTAACTTGCTCAGCTCTTCATCTAAATTGCTTGCTGAACGAATTTAGTTATCTAGTGTCGCATAGATCCCTAGTGGCGACGTAGGGTCTCTATGGCCGCCAGCAACCTTGCCGACACCGAGTAACGGAATACAAATTTCTGTGTCATCTATATAGATGGGAATTGACCGTCAGAATTGAATTGGTCGTTTTTTGAATTCCTGACCGAATCGTCAAATTTATGGACATTGTAATTACCCGTGATGACCGTGGTAATTGACCGTCATTTGACCGGTCATTTTTGTCACGTCGCTACTTAGGACCCATTGAACCGTTTATAACATATGACAGAATATGGAAATCACTAGGAAATATCGCGGATCCGATCGATTTTACCCCATATAACCACAAAAACTGTTTTTTCCCGTTTTTGCCTTCAAAATGCTTCTTGCGCCGTAGTTTTCCTACGATTTTATTAATTTTTTTCTAATGTTCGTTACACTCCAAAGAATAAAATGAAGCATCCGTTTTGCTTCATTCGCAATAGATCATGAATAAATGAATTTTGAATGTCATAAATTTTTCGCGTCTCCAGAGTAGGACTAAAAATTCCTTGTTTTTAGTAATTGAACATTGTAATCATGCGTATTCTAATTTTTATTCTGATATAAAAGTTGTCAAGTTGTCGAGTTGTCACACGTTTATTCCTAAATGTCTGAAAGAGAAATCGCATACATAATGATGATGATACGGATTTTGCTGATAACGTTAGTGTTGGTGATTTCCAACGGCGTATGTATTGATTCTCAATTGAAGTTTTCATGAATTTCGACGAATTTTTAAGGACTTTTAATAGAAGTTTCGATAGATTTCTATCGAAAATACTTCGCTTTCCGAAACAAGTTTTCATAGCTTTCGCCGGATCTCCTATTAATTCTCGACGGAAATTTCCATCCCTTCGCAATAAAAAAATCATGAATTTTCAATAGAAGTTTTCATTACTTTCCACGAATTTCTTCTTAGTAATACTATAGAAATTCATATATGTGAAAGAACATATTGATTCCAGTCAACTTAAATCATAACGTGACGAATCATATAAAATCTATCAAATTGCCAAGCGCGCAGAGCGCGCCCTCGATCTCGTGACCAAAAAAAATGGCAGGTTGAAACGAAAAAGCGAGTTCAAAAGAACATTTATAAAATTCACAATTCGTTTATTCATAATCTATTGCAAATATAATAAAATGGATGCTTAACCTCATTGTTTAGAGTGACGAACATTCAAAAAAAAGCTAAAATCGTATGATAACTACGGCGCAAGGAGAATTTTGAAGGTAAAAACAGGAAAAAGTGAAGTTTTTCGTGGTTATACAGGACAAAATCGATCGGCTCCGCGATTTTCCCTAGTTATTCCCGTATTCCGTCATATATCACAAACTGTTTAATGGGTCCCAAGGCCCAGTGAAGACTTAAATTTCACCGACGTATCCCCTTAAAAAAAAATCGTAACTCCCTCGATTATCAATATTTTTCAATTATTCTTTTTTCAAAATTTTTGTCTCATCGCCCTCTTTTCAGAAAAAAATAGAGACAAAAATCCCCAGCATGAATTTTTTTGGCCTACTGATTTGCCGTGGATCTGCTTATATTGTGTAATTAGAACGTGAAGATTACCATTTCAGATTAGTTTGCTACGTCAAAAAGATTAGTTTCCTATGTCAAAAACTGAAGCGAATGATTTGTGTGTCACAGGTCATTTCTAAACCCTATCAAATCATCCTACGAATTTATCCTATATATAAAAACCCTGATAATTACAATTATTTGAAAATAATTCGAAACAAAAACCCAGAGTTCCAGCACCTCCGTCAACACCAACTGATGAATCGAGCGGGAATTTCGAATGGTCGCTGGTGCCACCTACTGTCAGTTTCCAAAATAGTATTTCAAAAACATAAACAGAACCAGCTTCTTCATTCCAACATAAACAAATGAGAATTTAGTGATTACGAAAACCCACAAACTCCAGAAAAAGTATTTGATTGGAATTAATTACCCAACAATTTATTAATCGAGGTAAGTTTATCAGATTGTGGTACGTTTTTTTACAGAATAAAAAAATGAGGTTAGGTTCCAGTAAACAAAGCAATATCGATTTTTAATTCCCACATCATTACAACTCGACAATTGGCTAATTAGTTAAATAAATAATTTCATTGTTGTTACATTCAGTGATTTACTACAATCTGCTTTAATTCATAATTTTGAGGGGGGCAGAGTCGAGAGGGAAAACCGTTTTCAATAGATCTATTCACCAAATGCTACACTTCGGAATTCTCAAGTTTTATTTGGAGGATTAAATCAATGTGTTGAAAATAAAAAAAGTTATGATTCCACTGTACTATAATTGAGTAATTGAAGATTGAAGGAAAAATTTATTTAATTAATTATTTTTTTTATTTCACCCAACTATTTATTACAATTTAACCTTCACACCGAACTCCCGGTCTGTGGGACCGGTATTAAAATTTTTACAGTGTATAACTATTGATAAATGTATGAAAGAAAAATCAAACTTCCAGTAGCTTCCTATTTCATCGGTTCCTATCGATACAAAACGCTTTTGGTTATTTTTCACCCCAATAAAGCTATGAAACCACCAATGTTTCTTCTAATTTATTCCCTGAGGGAATTCATAAAAACTTATAATTAGCACCAATTATTCATAGTGGCACCAATTATTCATAATTCCCCATATCTTTGTTCGTTCGATAATCGAACGTTAACAAGCGAGATTTATATGAAAAACAGTTGATAACAAACATTTATGTGCGAAAAAAAAATGAAATTAAATATACTCACACGTTTCGCCTCTTCAGTTCAACCCTTCCCCGTTTGACCCTTCCATCGTTTAACCTTTCCTTGGTTGACCTTTCCCCGTTTTAGCCCCCATTTGAAATTTCAGTTACGAAAAATAATGATTCATTCGCTCAAAAAACGGGAAATGCGATCCAGATGGAGTAGCGGTCTGGTAAACTAGGTAGACCGCGGGGGACGGTAAACGTGCCTTTACACAGGGGTTGGGTGTAAAGGTTAACCCCTCACCTACGGAGCCTTTTGTTTTCAAGCGTGGAGTACGCTCAATACGACTAGAATGTAATTACTTCTAATCAACGGAAAATTATGAAACTGATATGTAATTGCAGCTACAGTATTCCTTTTTTCGTTGTTATTTATTTGGTCGAGTTAAATTCCTTAATTTGAAAATAATCAATTCCAATGAGAGTCATTCGTATTTTCATGGGTCGATGCATGGCATCGACCTCGTACCCAGGTTTGAAAAATCCTATATGATTCCCCATAGGATATCCTATAGGATTTCATATAAAAAATTCTATGGAGAATTCGAACATTTTCTATAGGATTTCTCAGATAGGATTTCCTATAGGATTTCTTATAGGACATTCTATAAGATTTTAGGAGATTCTGCAAGATGTCAATTTCCTATAAAATTTAGAGTCATAAGGGCCAAAAGAGTCATATGGGGGTCATATAAGGATCATATACGGATCATATGAAGGTCACGTGGAGGTCATATGGGGATCATGTGGGAGTCATATAAGGGTCATATGTAGGTTATATAAGAGTCACATGAGAGTTCCATGGGCACATACGAGGGTCATACAGAGGTTATATAAGAGGCTTATGAGGATCAAATGACCTTCATATAACCCCCATGTAATCCCTATATAACCCCCCGATGGAAAAAACTCCTTAAATTCTATTGGAAGAAAAAAGGGTAATTGGAAATAATGACGTTATTGCCGTTGACCCATTATTTCCGATTCAGGTTAATAGCGCAATGCCGACACGGATGGAAAAATCCAATAGGAAAACCTAGCGAATTAGCTAGAAAATTCTATTGGGATTCTGGAGAAAGAAATTCAAAATGTATTGACTTTTCCGTATGAAATACGCAATAGAATCAGCGCAAAAAACTAATAGAATTTTCCAATTGGATTCCAATAGAAATCCCATAGAAATTCGATAGATTTTCTCCAGAATCCCAATAGAATTTTCTAGACAATTCGCTAGGTTTTCCTATTGGATTTTTCCATCCGTGTCAACATTGCGCTACTAACCTGTACAATCGGAAATAATGGGTCAACGGCAATAACGTCATTATTTCCAATTACCTTTTTTTCTTCCAAT